CCCCAGACACACCGAGCCATCACCACACACACCGGGACAGACACTCCCCACACTGTCCCCGGCTGGAGGCGCCTCAGGCTCAGGGTGACCTCGGCAGGCCCGTCCCCTCGCACAGGGCGCAGGACCAGCCCTGCCCCAGGCAGAGGAGCCGCCTTGGGCACGGCTGGGCCCTGCCGCGGTACCTTGGGGTGTGCAGCGGTTCAGGTCCCGCAGGTTGTACAGCTTGTCCGCCAGCTGCACCAGCTTGGCCCGGGGGCTGCAGCCGGGCGCCCGCTCCACCTGCAGCCGCTTGCGCTCCATCTTGGGCAGTGTCTTGTCATCTGTCACCTCCTCCACCACACGCCGTACCTCTGCCCCGAACTGCTCCTCGAGCTCGGACAGCGTGGTGTCCGTGTCCTCCACCGTGTCGTGCAGGAGGGCGGCCTGGGCCAGGGAGGGTCAAGGGGGCCGGGGTCTGGGCCAGGCCCCGCCGCAGCGACAGGAGGCATAGGAGGGCACGGCCTTACCTGCAGCACCACGATGTCCGTCACGCCAGCCTCGTGCACCAGGATCCTGGCGACGCCTGCGGCCATAGCAGAGAGCTGGGAGGGGGCACGGGGGGAAAGGGCAGCCCTGGCCCTGCTCCCTGGGTTACACAAAGGCTGCACTGCACAGAGGGCCGGGAGGGGTCCCCTAGATCCACCCTGGGCACGTCCTGTGGGGTGAATCTTTAGGCTGGGTGAGCAGGCAACTCCTGGAGCCTGGCACTGCCCCCAAGGGTACCTCATCAGTTCCCACGGGCACCGTCCGCTGCAGGGCAGCAGCGTGGGGAGAGCACCCACAGCACATGTTAGGAAGAAATTCTTCACAGAGAGGGTAATCAAGCATTGGAACGGCCTACCCAGAGAGGTGGTGGATTCACCATCCCTGGAGGTTTTTAAGCAGAGATTGGATGTGGCCCTTAGTGCCATGATATAGTAATTGGAGTTGGATCAGGGGTTGGACTTGATGATCTTGGAGGTCTTTTCCAACCCAATCTATTCTATGATTCTATGATTCTATACAACACATGGCTGGGGCAGGGCCTGAGGTGCTCCGGGGGCTCCTTCGGGCCGAGGGACATGGAACAGGAGAAGGGACACGGCTTTTCCCGGGGGCCGGGGTAAGGGGCTCCCATGGGCGAGGGGTACTCAGGGGCAGGAGGGGTCCCGGGCATCCCTCGGGAGCAGGACGCGGTGCCGGGGGGTTCCGCACCGATGGGGTGGTTGATGAAGGGGGTGCCTTCAGGGTCCTTCCGCCGCTGCTCCTTGTGCTTCCTGGCCGCGAAGTCCGCGGCCTCCAGCAGCCGCGCCACGTCCGAGCCCATCCCCGGCAGCTCGGAGCCCGTGCCCGGCACCTCGAATTCCCTCCCCGCCATCTCGCAGCCCGTGCCCGGCGCGGCGGAAGCGGCGCGATCGGAGGCGGGTCCCAACACCGTTTATTGCGCGCCGGGCCCCGGCCCGCCCTGGCCCCGCGGCAGTCGGTACAGCAGCGTCCCGTCGGGGGCGCGCACCTCGCGCTCGGTCCCCGGTGTTGCCGCGACGGCGCTCAGCGCCCGCCGATCCTGCCGCAGGCGGCGGCGCGGCGAAGGGCAGCCGCGGCCCCGCAGCACCCGCCGCACCACGTCGGTGCTGACGCCGAACCCCTGGGCCAGGCGCTCCAGCGGCCACTCCTCGGGCAGCTCCTGCCGCAGAAACCTGCGGGCACGGGCACGGTCACCGGGGCGGTCAGGGGGAGCGGCGCGGCCCTCCCATCCCTGCGCTCACCGCAGCTGCTCCATCGCCTGCCAGGTCAGGACGCGCTCGGGGGCTCCGCGCTCCCCGCCCAGCTCCCGCCGCAGCCGCTCCATCCGCGCCGCCACCCGCCGCCGCCGCACCCTGCGGGGGACACACATGAGCGCCCGGCCCGGCCCGGCCCCGGCCCGGCCCGGCCGCCCCGCACCTCTCCGCCTCCTCCAGCGCCGGGTCCGGCGACTCCGGGTCCCCGGGCCACGCGGCCGCCGCCCGCCGCGGGGTCCCGGCGAGGAGCGCGGCCGCTCGCAATCCGGGCCGCAGCAGCGCCGCCATGACCGGCAACGGGAACGGGCGGGGCCGGCCCCGACGGGGTGCAGAGAGAGGTGACCTGTGGCGGGCCCGGCTGCAGCCGCGGGGCACAGCCAGGAGTGCGGGCAGGGGCACTGGCACCAGCCCCTGGCCCGGCAGAGGTGAGCTGCCCGCGGCGCGTGGCCAGACCCGTGTGGAGCCCAGGCTCTGGTCAGGGCGCTCCGCAGCCAGCCCCGGGGCTGATGGGGGTAGCCAACCTATCCAGCAGCCCTGGTTGTCCAGCGAGCACCCACAAGAGGAAGGCTGAGCCTTCGGCCACGTTACTTGTGCCTTTCATGCTGGAAGTGTGTGACACATTGGCACAGCGAGGCTCTGCCATGGTGCAAAGCACATGTATGCTGCACGTGAGCGGCGGCGGCGGCGGCGGGGAGCTCCTGGACCACAGCACAGCTGAGGATGCCGTTGTCGTTGACTTCCCCCGGGCTGGCTGGAGATGCTGGGGGACAGCTGCTTGCATGGGAGGATGATGGGCTGGCAGCGTCACCTGGAACAGCACAGGCAGATGTGGGTCTGTCAGCACACCGGGCAGCGTTGTGGGTCAGCAGCCCCCACTGCCCTCCCCGGTGGGCCCTGGCAGCTCCCCCTCCAGCCCTGCTGCCCCGGCCTTATGGCTGTCAAGTGGATGGAGCCGATGCTGGGGAGCAGAGCAGGGCTGGGTGAGGGAGCGTGGGACTGTAGGCAGGGAGCAGCATGGGCCTGGGAAAGAGCTGGGGGCTGTGCTGTGCCACTGTGTCCCCTCCATACCCACTGCAGCTAACACACCCCTTCGACTGCCCCATCTGCTGTGCTTCCAACTCTCTCTCTCCCATACTGGGGCTTCTCATGCTCTCTTCTCCCCACACATCAACCCTTGGTCCTGGGAATCCACCCACATTCCTTCCTGCCCCTGTGAATGGGATGCTGATGGCCTCCAGCAGAGACTCCCAGTGGTCATCAGTACCCTGAGCAGAGCACAGCGGCCCCTCCGCAGAGTCCCAGCACCCTTGGGACTCTGAGCTCCATCCAGCCTGCCCACTCTTCCCACCCTGGTAAGCCCAGGAGTATTCACAGGAAGGTGATGTGTACTCACAGCCTTCAGCCTGTGTTCTGGCACCAGGGAGCCGCTGGTCTCTCAGCAGCAGCCCCTCGGGGTGGGTGCAGGACTGGCTGAGGGCTGCCCGTGCTGCCCGGCCCCGCAGCCAGCCCCCGCCTAGCACCCTGGAGCCCTGGTGCCGCGTGTGGTACGGGACGCTCCGGCCTCGAACGCAGAGGGTGTCTGCGTTGTCAGGGTCCGGGCCCAGCGTGTCCGGCTGCAGGGCCTCGGCTCTGACCCAGTGTCCCGAGGCCTGGGCTGGGCCTCCCAGAAGCGAGATGACCATCATTAAGTCATGGGTGTCCTGGTCCCCAAGGGCATCCCAGGGAAACTGCAGCTGGAAGGAGGGAAGGCAAGTGGCCATGGCTTAGCTCTGGAGGCCTTGGCAGGAGATGGGAAGAAAAGTCTTTTCTAGCCATGTACAGGTGTTCACTAAAGCATCCCCCTGCACGTTGTCCCCAGGTACACGCCCCACAACCATCCCAGACTCACATCACCCTGGAAGCACAGCAGCTGGTCTGCTGGCAGTGGACCTGGGACCCCCATCCTGCCCCAGACACTTAGTGCCCTATTCACTCCCCACCATCCTCCTGCCTTGGCTGTGTGGGTGGATCTGGGTGACCCCGTTACCTGGCTCTGGAGAGTGCAGGATCCCTGGCTGTTGGCTGTGGGGAGCAGCCGGGAGAGCTGGCTGGTGATGCCCAGGTCTCGGATCAGCTTCTCACGCTGCAGCAGAGCATTCACTCTCCTCTTCTCCTCATGTTCCACGATGTCCTGGGGCTGCATGGAGTCATACTGCACGCGCTGCACCTCGGCAGAGAAACACCTGAGCTACAGCAAAGCTGAACCTGGGATAACGTACAGGTGAGACAAAGCCACGGGCTGCTCCAACCCTGGGGAGAGTTACAGACTTGGGGTGGGATGGAGATCCTAGTGAGAGCCACAACAGGAAGGGACAACAAGTACTGCCCACCACCACCTGTCAATTTTCTGGACTTCATACAGGGAGTCAAACTTGGAAGTTCTGCTCCATGGGAGCATCCATGGCCGAGCATGGCTTCCAGAGCCATGTCACTGCCTTGGGGAACTCATGAACAATGCTGACCCTGAGGTACCTTTCTATCCCATGTCTTGGTGCTTCTGTGAGTGAGGTGGGTTGTAGAAGCTGTGCTTCTATTCTGGATCCTCTCTGTTTTCTTCTTCCTGGTGGCAGCTTCCAGCTTTTCGTTTTTCAGGCGAATCTCCTCCAGCTGCTGCCTGCCACAGAACAGCAGTCATTCACTGGCTCAGTCAGAGCCACAACAGCAAAAGGCTGTGCGGCAGCCTTCAACCTGAGGACATTTATTGCAGGCCAAAGTTCTGTATAAACAGCCCATAATAGAAGTGTGCCAAGAGATGGGCCAGGGATGCTGCAAAGAGACTTTCAAAAAGAGAATTAGGCTTAGATTAGGCTGTGCCTGACAGAAGGGAGTGGGACATTTGGGACATGGTTTCTTCAGGGTCCAAAAGTCAGTGGAGCACTGCTCTTGCCTTTCTGGGGTCCATCCAAAAGGAGCTGCTTTGCTGTGGTGCCACAGCACGTGCAGGCTCCTTCCCTTCTGCTCTCCCCACTTGCTTACACCTGCCAAGCAGCAGAGCGGCTCCCCAGGAGGGCTCAGGAGCGAGTGGTGTCCATGCCCCCTGTGAGGAGAGGGTTTCCACAGAAGCAGTATACCTGGCATGCTCCTCTCGTGCCTTGGAGGCTGCCGTTTCCTGGAAGAGGGACCTGCCCTGGTGGAAGAAGGGCTCGTATTTCTCTGTGCCAGGTGCCGGGTAGATGCGCCGGAAGCCGCCCAGGTGCTCGTTCTCGTAGGTCTCGGCCTGTGCCAGCCAGGCAGCCTGGCTGCTCTCCTGCTCCCTGCGCCTGCAGCCGGAGGGAGGACAGGGAGCTGCAAGAGGGAACTCCAAGGCAGGCGGAGCACAGGGCTGACATGCTTGGTGTTTCCCAGTTATCCCAGGACTCCGTGTGGAAACAGCAGCTGGAGGGAGTCCCCTCTTTGCCTGCAAGGCAGCAGGCTCACTAAACACTGGCCTTGCGAAAGAACATGCAGACAGAGGAGGGGGAAACCCTCAGCCCTGGAAAGGAACCCTGCCCTGGAGAAGAGCCTGTGCCCTTGGCTGCTCCTGGTCCCTGAGGCAGGGCTGCGGTTCCTCCTGTGAGCATCCCTGCCAGCCCAGGGACACTGGCACTGCCTGTCCACACAGGACAAGCAGGTGCAGCTCAGTGGGGATGTCTCTGTTTGGGCCCAGAGCACCAGGTGTCACAAATCTCTTGGTACCCAGAGAGGAGCCCCTAGCTCTTCCTTCCCAAGATGGCTTGGGAGAGCTCAGAGGCTGCACAGTGCCATGGGCTCTGGGAGCTTCACCTGCCAGCCCTGGCATTATCCTGCTCTGCCATGCCCTGTCTCTCCTCACTGGAGATGTGTAGCACTGAGGGAAACAGCAATACCTGGACTCACGGAGAGTCTGGGTCTGGTTGGCCTGAAGGAGCCGCTCCTTTACCCGCCGCTTGTCTTCCTCCAGCACCTTCCTTCTGTCGCAGGCGTGCACGTTGATAAGGTTGAAGGTGTCACACAGAAGGGCATCCTTCACCTCACGGTCTAGCTGAGAGTCTGTGTAGAAGCTGGGAGAGTGGTTCACCTGCCAAGACAAGCGAGTAACCTAACCTGGCACCCCAGCTCCCAGCCTGTGGCCCTGTATGCCCCCCACACTGTCCCTGGATGCTCTTCCCTGTGTCAGTGACAGGAAGCAGGGGGCCGCACAGAGCACTCTGTCCCTGCAGTGCCACAGGTCACCCGGATCCCACCCCACAGGTTGCAGGTGGGGGGCAGCTGTCACAAACTCAGGGTGCTTGGTGGACGCTGGCAGGTGCTCTTACAGGAAAAGGGGTCCTAAGGTTTGGGAAATTCCCTGCTGTTAGAGGGTGTGCAGGAAACTGGCTCTCTTGGATCCCACTCACAGCAGGGTGCTGGCTTCACAGCCTGGTTAATTCTGTGAGTGAGGTGGCCCTTTTGAATCAAACGAGTCCTGTTCACCCCACCCCCCTGTCCAGAAGCCTCTCCCCGCTTTTGGTTGTCTGCTCCTTCCTCACCTCCAGCAGCCACGGCTTCAGCCTTCTGTCCAGCAAAATGTCAAAGCCCAGGATCTCGAAGCAGGCGCAGCCGGTGACGTGGTTGGGGAAGCAGCTCTGGTAGTGGTGCTTCAACACAGGGTGAGCTGAAATCAGTGTCTTTATGACAATGTCATCAATATCTGCCCAGAGCTTTGTTGTGTCGTAGCTGTGCTCTGCCATCCAGGCATTCAGGGTGGACAGCTTCCTGCAGGGGCGACAGGAGGTGGTAAGGGCTGAGCTGTGCCACCCCAGGAAAGATGAGGTAAACCAGTGTCCCACAGCGTTCCTGTGGTGCCTGGACATGCCAGTACCTCTTGCTGCCCATTGTGTCATCCTGGACGAAGTTCTCATTGTGCTTGTTGATTGCATAATTGGTCAGATGCATGCAGATGTCACCCTAGCAGGAAACCAGGAGAGACATTAATTCACTCTGAACCACACAGCGAAACAGAAACAGCCCCACCAGATAAGCCCAGGTCCTTCTTTTCCACCTGATGCATGGGCAGAGCAGGAATGGTGTGGAATGGAGCACGCTTCTCAGGGCCAGGAGTGGTAGGTGATGGCCAGAGGCACCAGGGGCCTGCAGGTTTTCAACACCTGCTGGGGTGACACCCCAAGGAACCAGATCTGAATTTACTGTTGACCCAGTTTTGAACATGAGGTTGGAGACCTTCCAGTGTTTCTTCAATGCAAACCAACTCTGTGATTCTGTGGTAATGCCAGTAAAAAGCCCAAATGTGAGGCTAGATGTGGGGGTAGATCTATTTCAAATCCTTCTGAAATACCTCTTGTGAGGAGAACAAGGAGGGTGTACAGAGGGAGAACAAGAAAGCAGCAAGCTGGGATCCCTGCAGCCCCCAGCCTTTTTGAGGCCTGGAATGTCCCTAGGACAAGTTAGGGATTGACACCTACAGATACTACGTGAGGTTTTTTGAAACTTCCTTTTTTTACCAGGTTTCTGCTGCTGCGATTGATGTACCTCATGGTGGCAAACCGGGCCAGGCCCTCCTTGTAGAGAAAAACCCTCAGTGGGTCACAGGATGTGACCAGCACGTAGATGCGCATGTCAAACTTGAAGCCATCAATGAGGAAAGGCTGTGAGGAAAGTCAGGAGCAAGGGTGAGATCAGGAACTGCTCCATCTGCCTGTGCTGCTCTTTGGCAGCAGAGGAGGGGGGAGAGCTTTGGCCGTGCCCCTGCTGTGCCACAGCCACCCCCAGCAGACCTGGGAAGACATGGGAAGGATGTGGGATGCTGGCAGAATGAGGAGGCTGGAATCCTCCCCTGGTGTTCCGGGACTCTCCTGGTACCTCAGAGATGTACTGCTGACAGATCATGCGCTCCCCATGCTTGATCTCTTCTGGGTGGTGAGTTATGAAGATCCCTTTTCCCTGGCAGCTGTTGTCGGGCTTACAGATGAATGTTCTGGTTTTCCTCACAGATCTGTAGGCATGGAAGTCTCCATAGCTGTGCAAGGAAGGAGTGATGGTCACCAGCTGCAAAAAACACCCTCTGACTTGCTCCTAACAGCTGGGTATTGAAACCATGTCACCGTGGGCCAGTACAAATCAAGTGTCCACAGGGGAGAAATAGAACCTCCATTCCTGATCTACAAGAGCCACAGACTGGTCCCTGTGTGACCTGACCCAGCTCTCCCAGTCCCACCTTTTCCTTGTACACATCTGCACCTGTACTGGGAGGTCAGTTGCAGAGTTCACCACGATACCTGCCAGAGCCAGTAGGATCTGGGCTCTGGTGCCCAGAGGGAGCAGGTGAACAGGCTCCCCCTCCCAGTGTGAGCCCCTCCTACCAGCGCCATCCCGCACCACTCACTCGGCTGGCAGGCACCACGTGCGGGGGAAGATGTTGTACTCCTTGGGGAAGAGCCGGAGCATGCGGTTCAGGTTGCGAGCCAGCAGGTCCTTACGGCAGAGCTCGATCATGCCTGGGAAGTGGTTGATTTTCTGAAGGAGAGGCAGAAAAACCCAGATCAGAGGAGGCCCTCTGATGCATCCTCCCGGCCCAGTGGAGAACCAGCACCAGAGAAGGAAGGAGGCCGGGCCCACAGCTGCCTCTAACTGCTGCTGAGGAGCAAGACTGCACTACAGCCAGTCTGTCTGAGCTTCACCAGTGATTTATGTGCTCCATCTCAGCCCTGGAGCTCTCCTTGCCCAGAGCACCCTAGAAACCATTTGTCATCCTAGCCCATTTATTTCACAGCACATTACCGGGCTGGCAGTGCTCCCGCTCCTGCTGCGGCTTCCGAGTTCTCCTGAGGCACCGACCACAGACATGGCACAAGGAAAGGCATGGAGCCGAGGCACAGATGGGTAACAGGCACTGCTTTGGATGCCTCTGTTCCACTCTGTCATGTGCTATTCCATCGACAGTCCCCATGTTATCCTCCTCCCTCAGCAATTCCTGCTGGACAGCTCTTTTGTTTACCTGGAACCGCTTCATTTCCATGAGGCGCTCCAGAGAAACCGAGCTGTCTGTCCAGCACACCGTCCACTCCTCGTTCTCTCCCGCTTCCTTCAGCCCGCAGTGCTGCGCCGCCCGCCGCACTGTGCCAAGGCAAGTGGTGACAGGGGCAGGCAGGGGAGCCACAGCAACCGACAACCCCCCAAAATAACCAGGGACAGGACGTGGAACAAACCTCTCCGAACTGCACAAGGTACTGGCGGGACCCTTTGGGAAGTGTCAGGAACACCAGCTTTACCTGGCCTACCCCTCAGCCTCTGGCTGCAGATATTATGGGTGCTCTCAGCCCTCTGATTATTAGTGCTAGGTCTGAATTTGGCCCTCGCAGGGCTGGGAAGGTGATGGAGGTCTGTGCACACCAAGATCCCTTAATGAAGTGGCTTAATAACACCCCTCAAGGGCCAGGAGGTTGTTCTTTTAAGATCCAGCTTGTGGCAGGAAAGAAAAGCGGGAGAGGAGAGGGGACCAGCTCCTTGGAGTCACTGGGGATGGATGGCACAGGGAGAGGTTCAAGGTGCGGATCCTGACTGTTCCACCAACAGGAACCTTAAACAGTTGAGAGCCCTTAGGTCCTGTCCCCAAGCCCAGGTACCCCCTTGCACTGTACCTGACTGAACCCTTCTTGCCCACTTTAGCAGACACCTGGCAAACACAGGTATGGGGGGGTGTTGAAGGCTTATGCTGCTGTTACAGATTTTAAACCAGGGGAAACCTCAGTCCACAGTGTGACAAACTCCCCACTACCACAGGGGCCCAGTCACTGGCACCAGTAAATAAACCAGTGAGAACTGGATGCCAACAGTGCTCCCAGCTGCACAGGCACCCAGAGCCTGCAGGGGTGGGCTGGGCCCCTCCCGGACCCCAGAGGGACCCCGCAGCCCCTCAGACTTACCGCTTTCATACCTGCAGCCGCTCAGGTTGATGGAGGGGACACTGGAATTAAGAGATGAGAAGAAAAGGGCTCAGCAAAGGACTGGGCACGGGATGGAGGGGGGACACAGCCCGATCCCTGCCACAGACACAGCACAGCACGCAGGTCTGACCGGGTGCAGCCCTGAGGAAATGGGGCTCAGGGGTCCCGGGCACGGGGCCACGCCTAGGTGCGTCACATGGCAGATCGTTGGGGCAGTTTCAGGGAAACTGTTTATTTTGGGTCAGTGGGTCCCCGGACAATCTCCCGGGGGCTGAGGGCAGCGGACCCCGGCAGGGCACTGCCCGCGGGGAGCAGCAGGGCCGGGCTACCCCGGGACCGAGGGCGACTGAGGCAGGGGGAGGCGTCCCGGGGTGGGGCTGGAAGGGCTCTCCCCGGGCCCTGCCGGAGGTCTGCGGCCCAGCACTCGCCTGCGCTTCCTCCGCGGCTCGGGGCCGACAGGGGCACCGGAACGGTCCGGAGGCACCGCGGCGCCAGCCGCCTCCTCCTGGTCCGGGGGGGTTCCAGGGGCGGCCTCCCCGCTCGGTGGGGTCCCCGGGGGCGGGCCCGGCCCCTCCCCAACACCGCCCGCCGCCATCGCGCCACTCCCAGGGCCGCCGCGTTCCCATGGCGACAGGGCTACAGAGACGCGGGCGCTGTCAGCCAGAGCGGCCCCGCTGAGGGCGCGTGGCTGCCAGTTCCGCAGTCCTCCGCTGCACAGCGGCCCCTGGCGGGCGGCACCACAACCCCCGCCGCTGCCACCAGCGCTGCCACAGCCGTGCCCGTCCCTGTCCCGGTCCCTGTCCCGGTGCCGGTGCCGTCAGCTCTCCAGCAGCCGCGCCAGCTCTCCGCCGAGGCGCAGCAGCTCAGCCTCGGGCAGTAGGTGCTGGCGGATGGCGCTAAGGGCCTGTGCCTCGGTGATGTGGAGATAGAGCGGCGCGGCGGGCAGCGGCAGGAACCCTGCCAGCTCGCACAGCGCCACGGCGAAGGGCTCGCCCGCCTTGGGGCCGAAGCGGGGCGGGCGCGCCCACAGCAGCACACGCAGGCCGCGACCGCTGCCGGCGCCGGGCCCCGCCGGCGGATCGCCCCGCGTGGCCAGCACGTTACAGGCCAGCCCAGCGGCGCCCAGGTGCTCTGCTGCCCGGCACACGGCCCGCGACACCGGCTCCAGCGCCGCGGGGCCGGCGGCGAAGAAGAGGAAGGCGGGGGCGGGTCCGGCGCGGAGCAGCCCCAGGCGCGACCCCAGCGACTCGGCCGGCGCCGTCTCCAGCGGCAGCGGGCGGTTTAGGTAGAGCCCGTGAAGGTGCAGGTGGTTCACCGAGGCTCCGCCGCCCAGCCCATTGAAGCCCACGCAGAATCCCGGGTGGGCGCTGAGCAGCGCCGCTTCCAGCGCCCCGTGCAGCGCCGGGGCCGTCAGCGCCTGCGGCAGCCGCCGCGCCGGCTCCGGCAGCAGCAGGACGTGTCCCCGCTCCAGCGGGCTGGCGTTGATGGCCACCAGCAGCGGGTCTGGCGGCGGCCCCGGGCCCCCGGCGCGGCGCAGGCGGAGCAGCAGCTCGGCGGGGCGCAGCCGGGTGAAGTTGAAGGCGCCGGGGTCGAAGGGATCCCGGAGGCTGCGGACGGGCTGCGGCGGGCGGCGCTCGGCGCTGCGCTGCTCGTTCAGCTGCGCCACGAGGCGCACGGGGCCAGGCAGGACGCGG